TGGCAGCTCCAGGGCGCCGGGATGCCCCTGAGCTGTGACGGTGGCAAAGTCTGAGTGGGGTCGGAGCCCCAGAAATTTCACTGTTTGCCCATGATCGGGTGTGGGCAGCCCAGCAGGGACCCCGGCAGGAGGGAGCTGCCTGCCCCTCCTCTGCAGGCGTCCTGAGCAGAGGCCTGGGAGACACACGGTCCCCCCAGCCCCAGCGAGGAGCCTGAGGCAGAGGGGCCGTGCCCCTGGGGAGCAGCAGCGAGCCTCGCCTGGGAGCCTTGGGCCAGGCAAGTGCTGCAGGACGAGTGTTTGCCACCTTGTCTCTGCTGGGAAATGTACTGGTGCAGGAAGGCTTGGGCTGGGATCCCTGCCTGTGTGTTTGGCGTGGAGCTACTGAGCAAGCGAGAGAAAGGAACAAGGATGGTGGAGTTGTGTGAGCCCGTGGCAGGAATCCTCACCATGTCCCGGGGACTGTGCCGACCTGCTTGCTGCTGGTTCAGTGGCAGCAGAAGCGGCTCAGCAGTGGGGAGCACTTGAAGTGCATCCAGTACTTTCCAGGTCCAGGCATCTTGGGCTCTGCAGCGCACTGACAGCAGCCACAGGTGGCTCAGACCAAGGATGGGAGAGGTTTAAGGAGAATGGGACCCGTTCTGATATATCAGGGTGCCCCAGGAGTGGTTTTGTTGGTTGCTGCTCCAACAGCGTGGTCTGGTTGGAGATCTAGGAACTGCAGACCCTCCCACAAGCACCTGGGCAGTCACTGCCCCCCAGGGGGAAATGCCACTATCTCCTTCCTGGCAGTTGATGCTCGCCCCGGGCAGCAATGGATTCTGCAGCTGTCAGGGGACTGATCTTCACTTCTTGTAGCCTCCTGCAGCGGTAGAAGGAACCATCTCTCAGAACAGCTGGAGCACTCAAGTCGCTGGGCTGCAGATCCCAGTCAGAGCTTGGGGCGGTGGAAGAGGCGGGGGCAGCTGTTTGCTCATGGGCGGGCTGGAGCGGAGCAGGGGCTGCGCAGATCCGGCCGGGCGCTGTGGGAGCAGGTTCCTGTATCTCCTGGCTGCTGGGTGCTCCCTGCCCATGTCCGGGGCATGGCACTGCTCACAAAGAGGATGATGCTAGCTAGCCAAGGAGGCAGCGGCTGTTAGCCTGGCTGTTGTCTGGCTATTTCTTCTCCCAGTATTTAGAAGTTACCAGCTGTATATTTTCCAAGAATCTTGTTTTTGAGCTGGGATTTGGTGTCTTTGGAGCCTCCACAGCAAGCATCCTTAGGGTAGGAGGCACACTGCCTGCAGGGAGCTCCCCAGAGCGAGGGCAGTGGGGTCTCTTCTGGGGCTGAGAGCTGGAGGAATGGGCAAAGTGCTGGGCAGGCTTGGTGCCCTGGTTAGGCAAGTGCATGACAGAGAGGGGAAGAGTTCAGCAGCGTGACTGGCTGCCAGCACCCTGCAGCCTTGTCCTCCTCCGGATGCCCCCGAGTTTCTCATTCCCAGCAGGAGAAAGGCAGTTGCAGACATCTTTTGCCAGAGGAGGAGTCCCAAGCCAATTCTAGGGTGAAATGAGTGAAACAGCCTCCCCATCCTATCTGGGAAAGGCAAGCCAGATGGCACTTGGCCCGGCGAGCCCTTCATCCTGGAGTCATTCAGTCCTCCCAAGGGTCTGCTGGTGTGGAGACCAAGCCTTGCATTCCTGCACCAGTCCATTTCATCAGTGCTGATGACCCCCAACCCTCCATGGCTGCTGCTGGGATCTGTGCAGGACACACCCTGGTGTGTTCTCAGCAAAGGCAGAGGGAGGCATCTTCCCAACCAGATGTCAGTCACACTTTTAACCCTCATGGAATGCAAGATCTCGAGCCTGCTGTGTGAGTAGCATGACACTCTCCACCATGTCACAGTACCAGCAGTGGCATTTTACCCTCAGGTTGTTCTGGGGTGAGCAGCTGTGTGTAATGGAAAGAGATAAGAGAGTTGGGTGCTGTGCCCTGTACTTCTTAATGCAGGTGGTGGTGCCTGCGAAGGAAGCGAGAGCCTGGAAAGAGCACTTGAAAGGGAGGAAGGGCTGTGCTCTCCCACCGCCCCCATCGGAGCTGTCTTCCCTCAAGGAGACTCCCGTGGCAGCACCCATTTGCTGAGCGTGTTTGTGGACACAGCCGTGCCCAGCCGGGGCCGGGTGGCCCAGCAGCAGCTGAGGTTGGCTGTGCCCTTGGTGGGACCCCGCTGGTGGCCTCTGCACCCCTTCATCGTCTCTGCTGGGGTGCTGCAGGCTGCAGCACGTTCCTCAGTCACTGCCCTCCTGCTGCTTCCTCTGCAGAGAGAGACTCCTCCGGGCGCAGCTTGCGGGGGGAGCCGGGCAGAGGAGAGGAGCCCCGCAGACCCCCTCCGCTCGCCTCCCCGCCTCTGCCCCGGCAGGCACAGACCCTGCCAGGCTGCAGCCCACACAGCTCTGCCTTGCTGCGGACCCGGCCGGGCCCCTCAGCCTCCTTGCTGTCTCTGGAGCTGTGCAGTTGACTCCCTGCTTTTAATAGAGAGCTGGGAAGGCACATTATGGAGATGAGGGTGTTATTTGCATAACGCTAATTAGGTAATTACAAATCATTTTGCTATGAGCTGAAGCGTGTGCTGTGACATAACGTTTATTAGTCATTCCATTCAGGCCCCGCTTAGTTAAGTCATTTACTGCACTAACTACTGAAGTTGGCAATAAAAGGTAAATGCTGGTGCTTGGGTGCAAAGCTGAGACAGGGCACCCCGTGGCAAACCCGAGGCCCGTGCGCCCACTCGGTGCAGCCGGTGGCATGGGCTGGCAGGGCAGAGCCCAGCCCCAGCCGCCCAGACTGGGGGGTGTTACAGCAGTCAGAGCAGTAGCGAGAGGGAAGGCCACATAGCCTTGGCTTTCAGCGGGCTCTGGTTGTTTTGGGGCCGTTTTCTGAGACCCCGGGGGACTGAGGTGCTTTCACACATTTTCGCTGTCTCCCGTCTCTCTGCTGCCGGCTCTGTACCCAGCACAGAGGTGCCTGTGCTCTGACACCCGCCCCGGAGACACCCAAGCAGCCTGCACTGGGGGGGTCCCTCTTGTAGGGATGCTAACGCTTCCATTTGTACCCAGCCTCTAAGTGCCTGGCGTCTGAGCAACCCTCAGGGCTCACCAAAATTATCTTCCCTGAAGACAGAAAGTCAGGAATTTGTCCCCACATGTTTTACAAAGTGCTTTAATTTTAAGCCTGTATCTGCTGGGGTTGCTTGCAGGGCGCAGATAACGGTGCTGGGCAGAGGAGCAGCTGAGGTGCCTGAAGAGCAGGTCACCTGGCCCTGCCCCCTAGGCACTTTGCCCCACTGCCATCCCCCCTGCCATCCCCCCTGCCATCCCCACTGCCATCCCCCCTGCCATCCCCACTGCCATCCCCACTGCCATCCCCCCTGCCATCCCCACTGCCATCCCCCCTGCCGTCCCCCCTGCCATCCCCACTGCCGTCCCCACTGCCATCCCCCCTGCCATCCCCCCTGCCGTCCCCCCTGCCATCCCCACTGCCATCCCCGCTGACATCCCCGCTGCCATCCCCACTCCCATCCCCACTCCCATCCCCACTGCCGTCCCCACTGCCATCCCCCCTGCCATCCCCCCTGCCGTCCCCCTGCCATCCCCACTCCCATCCCCACTCCCATCCCCACTGCCGTCCCCACTCCCATCCCCACTCCCATCCCCCCTGCCATCCCCACTGCCGTCCCCACTCCCATCCCCACTCCCATCCCCCCTGCCATCCCCACTCCCATCCCCACTGCCATCCCCCCTGCCATCCCCACTCCCATCCCCACTCCCATCCCCACTCCCATCCCCACTCCCATCCCCCCTGCCATCCCCACTCCCATCCCCACTCCCATCCCCACACCCATCCCCCCTGCAGTCCCCACTCCCATCCCCACTCCCATCCCCACTCCCATCCCCACACCCATCCCCGCTGCCATCCCCACTCCCATCCCCACTCCCATCCCCACTCCCATCCCCACACCCATCCCCACTCCCATCCCCACTGCCATCCCCACTGCCATCCCCCCTGCCGTCCCCACTCCCATCCCCACTCCCATCCCCACTCCCATCCCCGCTGCCGTCCGTGTGCCTCACGGAAGCAGCTCTGCTTGGCCAGCTTCCAGGGACCCCGATGGCCACCGAGGCTTGGGAGCTGGCAGCTGCCCGCCCAGCAGCACGGTACGATGTGCCAGAGCTGAGAATGGCATCGCTCTGGCCTCTCTGTGGCTCCTGCCTGGCTCTCTGTGACTTACTGCTTCTCTGTGGGAAAACGCTGTCTGTGCCCAGTCGCGCGGGTCTGTGGAGCGCCCAGGCAGCAAGGGCTTCCCAAGCAGGATCCCTACGCTGCTGCGCTCCGCAGCTGGCGATGACGCCCCTTCTCAACGTACATGATGGTGGAGAGCTGCCTTTGAGCCCACCGCAGGGGCCTCACTGCATCTCCTGATCCAGTGTGCAGGGCCCTCTCCCCCTAAAGCCACTCATCGGCAGGCACCAAGCACTCTGTGGGCCCCTGGGGGAGTGGTGATGAGGCTGTGCGGGGGCACCAGCCCTGTGGAGGAGCTGATTTCACTGCTCAAGAGGTCAGCGGCTTTCTCCGAGGGGGAGGCGTGGAGAGCAGGGCGCAAGCAGCTTCCAGGGGTCCAGTGCTACAGCCTCCTGGGCTTCCCAGCCCTGGATGGCGGGGAAGCGAGGCTGCTGGTGTTCACGTGTGGAAGGAAGGGCAAGCCCAAGCTCACGGGGCAGCGCGCGGGGGGCTGTGCGAGCAGCTGAAGAGGAGGGTCGGGCTGGCGCAGAGCCCTGGTTCCTCCCTGCAGGCACTCTGCCTGCGCTCCCTGTCCCAGCCTCCTGGGGACCACAGCTGGCAGCGATGCAGCCTGCGTGTGGACACAGCCGTGGCCTGCAGGGATCTGTCTGTGCGCTCACACCCTGTGGGGCTGGCAGACCCCCTCCTTCCCTGACCTGTGTCATGGCACACCTTTCTTTTCCAGAACCAGATGAGCCATTTGAGTTCATTATCGTGTCCCTGACGGGCCAGACGTGGCTCTTTGAGGCCTCAACGTCAGAGGAGCGAGAGCTTTGGGTCCAGGCCATTGAGAGCCAGATCCTGGCCAGCCTGCAGGGCTGTGAGAGCAGCAAAAATAAGGTAAGAGGCCTTAACTGAATTCTGCTTTCTTCCCTCCTCGCTGGCATCTGCTTTGCTGTATCCATCCCTGTCCCAGGCTTCCATGTCTGTCGAGGCTGGATCCCATCCGGATCCGTCTGCTCCCAGTCAGGGTTGAATTCCATCCCTGGGACTGTGCTGCTCCCTTCCAGGTTTCCTGTCGCCTCTCTGAGCTCCTTGTTCTCTCCCCAGCCTGGCTCCAACCCCACGGAGCTCTCTGCATCCCACCAGGGCTGGATCCTGGGCTGTCCGCTCCCTCCTTGGACAGCTCTGCCCTCCGGCCCACCACCCCCTGCTCCTCCAGCACACTCCTGGCTGCAAATCCGTGTCCCCGCAGCCCGCGCGCTGGACACCCCTCCTGCAGCAGAGCCTGCGGGGTGCCCGGTCCCACTGGGGTGAGGTGCTGGCAGCTCCCTGACGGGCTCCTGGGGCAGTGATGAGAGGACACGTGGCGGGGCAGTTGGCCTTGAGTAAATGGGGTTCCCATGCGTTTTGTTTCAGGCTCGGCTGGGCAGCCAGAGCGATGCACAGGCCATGCAGGCCGTGCGCACCGCACGTGGGAACAGCTTCTGCGTGGACTGCGATGCACCAAGTAAGAAATGCTACACTGGGAAGTGGGGGGCTCACCCAGGGCGGGGAGGGGGACTCCACCCCAGCCACCTCCTCCTACCCCAAAGAGACTTGCCCTGTGGGGCTGTCTCATCCTCTCCTGCAGTGGATCCATTCTTCAGGGATGGGCTGGTCCCTTGGAAGGGATCTGGTGGGCAGGTGCCTGCAAGAACAGGTCTCCTGGATCACAGGAGACAGGCTGGTGAGTCCGTGCTGGTATTAACTCTCCCCCACTGATCTTGGTGCTCTCAGATCCAGACTGGGCAAGTCTGAACCTGGGCTCCCTCATGTGCATTGAGTGCTCTGGGATCCATCGCAACCTGGGCACCCACCTGTCCCGTGTGCGCTCCTTGGACCTGGACGACTGGCCGAGCGAGCTTCTCATGGTCATGACCGCCATCGGCAATGCCTTGGCCAATGCTGTCTGGGAAGGAGCGGTGGAAGGCTACCCCAAGCCCACACCTGAGAGCAGTCGGTAAGGGAGATGGGGAACTGCGGAGATGCTTCCCAGACCACCACACCACACTTGAGGGCACCGCAGGAGGTTGGGAGCAGCCATCCAGTCAGAGAGGAGGGCAGGAATCCCCAAGGTTCTGAAGTGCTCGGGGTCCTGCCTGGTCTCTGGGCACTGGAGGCCCTCTCCCACTCTCCTGGTGGGCCACGGGGCCTCGTGGCTGGCCGTGGCCACGCACTGACTGCCGGAGCCGTGGCTGGCTGCAACAGAAGGGGTTAACAGAGATGGCTTGGCAGCGTGGTGCGGGTCTCAAGGGTGCGTCCCTTTCAGGCCCTTGTCTGTCCCGATCGGAGCGACTCTCCTGTCACTCATCCCAACAAGAGCCCATTCTGCGGCTTATCAACGGATAAGAGCGGGTCAGGGGGCGGCGGGAGCGAGCGCGCTCCGCGCGGGGCATTGATGGCCGCCTGCCAGATGCAGATGGATAGAATGGCAGCAGATAGCGGCGGCACAGCACACATCGATCTGCCCGGCCCCGCAGCCCCAGGCGGGACGGACGCTGCCGCAGCCTTTGTTTGCACCAGGCGAGACGGCAGCAGTGATAACGTGCCTCCCGTGGCACCGGGCTGTCGTGTGCAGCAGCTAACCTTTTCTTGCCGCTGGCCACGGCCCGCACACAAGCACGGGACCGATGGCCCCCCACGTAGCGGGCACGCAGGGGAGTGTGTGGGGACACCAGCGTAGAGGTGTCCCTTTGCACGGTGACGGGGCTGGGTGTGGGACACCGCTGCTGGACGTACATGGACGTAAGCGCACGGTGCACACAGGGGGCTATAAGGAGGTGCAGTGACACAAGTGTGTGTCCAGAGCAGCGTGGCAGGGCCCCAGGGACAGCCGTGTGCGCAGGGCGGGCACAGCAGCGGAGGGGTCTGCCGCAGGGGCTACGCAAGGTGTGCCTGGGTGCGACGGTCGCTCACGGCTGACACGGGGTGCAGTCAGGGTGGCAGCGCTGGTGTGCACGCTCCTTTGCACGTGGGGCCCAGGCGGGTTGGCCCCCCCCGTGACAGTGACGGTGTCCCGTCTGGCAGGGAGGAGAAGGAGCGCTGGATCCGGGCCAAGTACGAGCAGAAGCTTTTCCTGGCTCCGCTGCCCCAGTCGGACATCCCGCTGGGGCAGCAGCTGCTGCGGGCTGTGGTGGAGGATGACCTGCGCCTCGTGGTGACGCTCCTGGCCCATGGCACCAAGGAGGAGGTGAACGAGACCTACGGGGATGGAGATGGGCGCACAGCACTGCATCTCTCCTGCGCCATGGCCAACGTAGTCTTCACACAGCTGCTTATCTGGGTAAGACACGAGCCCGCAGCCTCCGCCACGGCACTTCGGGCCCTGTCCCGGTGCTTCGCCGCTGCAGCAGCCCCAGGCTCCCAGGTCTCGGGACACCCCTCATGCATCCCCCTTCCTGCGGGTTTCCCCACGTGCCCACTGGCGCTGCCCTCCCCACCCTCCCATCTCCCTCTCCCTGCCCGCCCCAGTGCCACAGAGCGCCTCTGCCCATGCTGGTGCTCTTGCTGTGCCACCCCCACGCCCGCGGGCCGCTGACCAGCTGCTTTCTCTCCTGCACAGTACGGGGTGGACGTGAAGAGCCGGGACGCTCGGGGCCTGACCCCGCTGGCCTACGCCCGGCGAGCTGGCAGCCAAGAATGCATCGACATCCTGCTGCAGCATGGATGCCCCAGCGACAGTGCCGTCACCACGCTGACCCCCAGCCTGCCCCGCCGCAACACCAACGCCAACAACAATGCCTGCACCGTGGTGCCAGCTGAGCTCGGCTCCAGCCCCAGCGCTGTCTAGCTCCTCACGGGCTCTCCGCTCACCGCATGGCCGCCTTCAGGTCCTGCCAGGGGACCAGGGCCACAGGAGCAGGTCTGAGAGCAGCACGGCCAGGCCGCCTGCTGGGCTCACCCCCCCACCAGCACCCCTGTTCTGGCTGGGAGGAGGCGGGGGGGCCAGCAGCCTGCTCCTCTGTGCTGGTTCCTGTGGACTCTCCCCCAATGCAGCTGGAGTAGGGGCTGTGCAGACCCAGCGCCGTCAGCTTGCAGAGGGGCTCCCTCATAGTCACTGGGATGGGGGGCTCCAGTACACCCCGTTCTCATGACCGGTACGGGGGGAGGAGAGGCAGTGTCTCTGTGCCCCCCACTACACACACATGTAGATAATACAGCGGCTGGAGGCAGTTCAGGTGTGCAGCCCTCCGCTGCGCAGCCACTACTGGGGAGGACAATTGCTGCACCTGCTCTCCCAAACAGTCAGGCAGTTTGGGCACTTCCCTCCGGCCCTCCTCCCATGTCAGCCTCGCTGTGCACCCCTGGTGCAGTGGGGAGGTGGGGGGCAGCCAGAGGTGCACGTTTCTCCACTGCACCCCTGTGCTCCTCTCTGCTTCTGACTGGTGCAGGGAGGCATCTACTCGCTGGTACCACTCCCCACACGCTGATGCAAAGGGAGCATCTCTCCCACACAGCCCCTGGACAAAGGCCTCTCCAGCCTCCCTGGTGACCTAGAGGGGGAAGAGGATGGTCACCCCAGGATCCCCAGCTGTGTCTGTCTGTCTGTAGAGTCACTGTCCTTCCAGGTTCAAGCCCCAAAGCCATACACGGTGTCTCCATCACAGCATCCCCGCTGGCTCCCGCTGCTGCCCAGGTGGGGCTGGTCTCCGGCTGAGCAAGAGGAGAGAGGAGGTGAACGTCTCCCTTTGGTTTTGAGCCAAGCCTGCAGCTGAGCGCTGGAACCCCAAGGCTTTGGACGCTGCTGTGGAACGTCTCTGTCACTTGTGTATAAAATGTACATTGGAAATATTTATATGGACACTCTGTATATACTGTTTCTTTGCCATGAGTTGCCCTGTGTGTGTTATCTGCAGCCAAGGAGATAAATGCCAATAAAACAACCCACCTCCTGCCAGGCCAGCTTTTCTGCATGCTGCCTTTTGGGCCTCCTGCGCACCCTCTGCTCTGCTTCTTGCCCACTCTGCAAGGGCTGGTGGAATTTCCATCCCAGACTGACAAACCTTCAGCCCTTTCTCCTGCAGCTCGGGAGTTGGTAACGGCAGTCCTGTGCTGAACTGGACGCTGTGGGGGACATGGTGGAGTGCTGGGATGGGCAGGGAAGATGTGACAACTTTGAGCACTGTGGGACAAAGCAGGGACACAGCCCCAGAGGGATGCCCTGGTGGGATCAGAGACGGGCACAGCAGAGGGGCAGGGGACATGCCAGGTCACAGGTGCTGGAGCCAGCTGGTCTATGCAAGAAATACAGTGGGTTTGAAGCTGGAGGGGGAGGCAGAGATGGTCAGGGAATGATGGGCTGTCCCAGCAAGAAAGGAGCCTGGGTGGTTTGATGTGGCAAAAAGATTGATGCAGAAGACTGGGGGTCTTCTAGTCCCAAGCTCCCCCAGGCAGTGAAGGAAGCTGTAGGTCTCTGCTTTACCATCCCTGACCCCACAACCTTCTCCCAGCTTTTGGCAGAGCGAAGCCCCAGTGCTGCCAGTTCTCCGCTGGCTGCGCCCAAGGCTGTTGTACCACAAGCGAGAGGTTGGGGCTCCAGCGTCCCCTCTGGCTGTGCCAGGGTCCAGGCTCTGCACCTCACTGGGACTGGGCACAGGTCTGGGTCCCCGAGCCTGCATGGCAGTGCTGTAAGGAAGGGAGGTGCCAAGACACCCCGCTCTCCCCCGGCCCCCCCCGTCACAGGTACCCCTCAGCAGTCCCCTGCAGCCCCTGTTGCCTTCCCCTCATGCCCCTCCCATGGCAGAGGGCTGCCACACTGGTGGCTGCAGATGGTGGCCCTAGCCCCCCCCCCAGTCCCTTAACTCATCTCTCTGTGCCAGCTGCATGTGCCAGTGTCGTGGTCCCCGTCCCAGCCCTGGTCCTGGTCCGAGCCCTCCTCGCCTGTGCCCATGTCTGCCCCTTGTGCCCGTCCCCACTGTCCCCCCCAGTGCCCCCCAGTGCCCCGGGGCCGGCCCCTGCCCCAGCCCTGTGCTGGGTTTGGTTAATTTCCTGGCGACTGCATTAGCGGGAATGGAAGCCGAGGGACGGCAGCTCCTCTGGGGCCCATTAATCATCCCCCTCAGACAAGCTGCCTTGATTACAAGTGGCAAGAAATTCATTAGGGCTGCGGCTCTGACAACTTTTATCTGCGCGGCTGGATCTGACTCATTAGGCAGCCAAATTAAAGCCATGATGGGCCCTGATGAAATTCACTGCTTGTTTATCTTGTGCGATCTGATACATCTGCCCATACATCATCTCCCGTGCGGGATCCCGCCCGGCCCAGCCCCGGTGCCTCCCTTCCCATCCCAGCCCTGCCCTGGCCTGGGGCACAGCCTGGACCTGGACCCAGCCCCAGAGCCAGCCCCCTGCCTGCCCCCCCACTCTGCTTTTGGGGTCGGCCCCGGGTTGGGCTGGTGGGAGGACAGCGCCGGGGCCACGCAGTGCCCCTGGGGGTGTGCAGCCCCCCTCGGGGCACCCACAGCCCTGGCTGGGTCCTGCTGCTGGCTGTGGCACTGCTGCCAGCGCACGGCCCCGGGCAGGCAGACCCGGGGTGCACATCCTGCAAACATGCTGTGGAGCCAGGGGCTGCCCCTCTGCTTTCACCCAGGAGAAGGGAGCTCCAGGAGCTTCCCTGCAGGCTCTGACATGGTCCCCAAGAGCCAAGGCAAAACCCCTTTCCCTCAGTTCATGAGCGGGCACGCAAGGCCATCGTGGGGTACGGGCACTGCAGTGGCCCTGGTTTCCTTAAGGGAGGCTGCACTGCCACCCCATACCAGTGTGCTGCCCCAGTGCCAGAGCCTGTGCTGGGCACGGGCAGCCTCTGCACTGCAGCATGCCGTTCCCGTCCCCAGTAGGAAGGGTGTTGTGCTGAACAACACTGTCTCTGTTGAGAAAATTAGCATGCCTCCATCCAGCAGCAAGGCCAGGCCTCAGCAGCAGCATGCCAATCCTGCTCTGCGTTATCCCACTGTTGGAGCACATCTCCACACCAAGGTGGCTTCACATGGTCCTGGGCCAGGACAGGCTGAGGCAAGAGCTGCTGTGTCCATGTTTAGGCTGGTGCCAGAGAGGGCACAGGCGGACCCTCCACTCTGCTCTGTAGCCCACAGGAGTGTGCCGGGGCAGCAGCACAGTGGGGCTGCCCCTGCATGACACAGCCCCTAGCAGCAGCAGCAGCAATGACGACACAAGCTCCTTGGCAGCACCATAAGGACCCCGCCACAGCCAGCACCATGCACACCACTGAGCTGAAGCAGTGGCTGCGCAGGGTGTGGGTGCTGCAGGGCAGGAGCAAGGGATTCGGGCTCATGCCATGAGTATGCAGCCCATGGATAGAAACCAGACATGCCACGGGTCTGCAACAGTTCCCAGAGAGCCTAGGCACAGCAGATCACGCTGGGACAAGCCCAATGGGGCACAGCTTGAGAGAAAATCCCCGTGGGCCTTCTCAGAGCCCTAGCTGAGCTGGCACAGCCTCCTGGTGGGGTACGTAGGTGGGCAGCAGCCATGGCATGGGGCAGTACTCCCCAGCCCAGGGGCAGCTGGGACCACACATGTGCAGAGATGCTTTTACGAGAGATGGCCAGAGCAGAGATCATACTGTTGGTCTGCACTTTTGCATTTCCAATCAGCCCTGCCTCTCTGAAAGAGAGGGCAGGGGTGAGACACAATGTCCCAGCTCCCTTGGCCTGTGCTTACCAAGATACGGCTCCAGTTCAGCACCTGCACCTGATACCCGGTTGTGTCTCGATATCTGGCCTCCATGGGGGTGCAGAAGTCCACAGCACAGGTCCTTGCAAAGACCTCTGGAGGAGGCGTCAGCCTGGCAGCTGTGGGCACTGGCACCAGCTGGTAGGCTGTGAAAGGCCCAGCATAGGCAGGCAAGTGGGACCCCCCCTGCTTGGGAAGGGCTTCAGCAGTGCTGGCTAGCTGGGGAGCAGCAAGCACTGCAATCTCGTGAAGTGCATCACAACTTGCCCAGCATCTGAGTGAGCAGCAGGCACAGCAGAGTGTGGTTACAGCATCTCTCGCCTCCCAAGCCCCAATTCCAGCATGACCTTGATAATTTCTTCCAGGTCTTGGGTCTTTTTCCCAAGATGCACCCACCCGGAGTTTGCACACCGCTGCTGAGGCCATCGTGAGCAGACTAGCTACCTGCTAGCTGCACCCTGAACGCTGAGTGCTGCTGTGGAGCTGGCTGTAAAGGAACTGGAAGTGGTCAGAAGGAGCTCATGACCCTTCCCAGGTGCCACGCCGACGGGAAGGGAGATTGTTTCTCTCCTGCCTATGTGCAGCCGAGGCCAATTTCTCCCCACCAGGGTATAGGCTCATTGCATTGCAGGATTTCTGCAGCAATGACACCCACACGGTACTTCTCACCCAGGCCAGGAGTATGGTGAGCTGCTCCCTAAAGGCAACCCCCAGCAGCAGGGATTCTGCCCCATGGGGCAGCACAGCAGAGTACAGTGCAGCGGTCCTCTGCCCTGCCTCAAGTCTGCTCATACCAGGGTCAGAGGGCCCATCACAGCCACCGCTCCACACCAGCTTGGGGAAAAAAAAGCCGTGTGACCTCCTGGGGAACCGCTCTGTGAGCCACTAGCAGATCAGCTCAACATCCAAGCAAGTCCTGGAGAGGCTGACAACAATAGCACCAGCACCATGGTGCGGCCCATCAAATCTTCAGACAAGCTCGTTGTCAAAGAATGCTACGAACCAGCTTTGTTGCACTGAAAACCTTTCCCTGAAAGTGGACCACTGAGTGAATAAATACTTTGTGGGATGGAATCACTACTCCTTTCCTAGATCTTTAAGAAAGTAGGAAATGAAGTAGTGGTAAATGAGTGGGCAGGTCTGGGTAGAAAGGATTCCCTTGTAGATGTTGAAACGGTCTTCATGACAGCAAAGTAAGTCTTGTTTGTATGTGTGTATATATATGTATAAACGTATATGTATAAATAAACGCATGCCTATGTATATACCTATGTATATGCCTATGTATATATGCCTATCTCTATGTGTCTACATCTTTATCTACCTTTTCCTCTCCGTGTGTGCATGTGCATGCATGTGCACACAAGCCCATGCACAAGTGTGTGCATTTCGGTATCCACATAAGAATTCTTTCCCCCAGTTCCTACTCCAAGACACAAGACAACAGGCAGAAGGTGGTACATGGGAAACTGCAAATAGATGCAAGGAAAAAAATACTATGAAGGTGGTCAGACACTAGAACAGTGACCCAAAGAGGTGGGATCACCATCCACGGAGATACTTGAATTCAGCTGGACAAGTTCCTCAGCATCCTGACCTAACGGGACCAGATTTGAGCAGGTGTTGGACCAGAGACCTTCTGAGGTCCCTTCCCACCTGCACGGCTCTGTCGTGCCAGGGGCTGTCTTTATCACCCAGTTTTTCCCTGTTGCTCTCTTCCTCCCACCCACCCCAGTCTAAATGATGCAGCACCTACCGCTCCAGCTTGTGGGGCACGCTGCACCCTCTGCTCCACAGGGCTTCTGTTTGGGGAGGTGCAGTAGCCACTCTGCGGTGCGGGCAGTGCCAGTCACTGGTGCGCTGCGGTGCTTTGCTCTGTGCGGTGCAGGAGGCGTCAGGCTCACTGCAATGCGTGGGGTTCACAGGGGAGCTCTGTTCTGAACAGCCAAAGCAGCACTCTGCTGTTCTGCAGCTCTCTCCAACACCCCTGGTGACAGCAGTGAGTCTGTCACCTCCATCAGCACCAGGCTGAGCTGCACCTCTCTGTAGCACTTGCAGTTTTATTAACACAAATGTTTGCAGGATTGCATTGTGTACTGGCTCTGGGACTGATCTAACTCAACAACAAAAAAAAAAGCCAAAAACCAAGTAACTTCTAAGAAGCTGAAAGCTCCAGTTCTTCAATCCACACTGCAGGCAGTCAATAAACA